AAGTATTACACACTAAAGGATTTACCCAGTGTGGCAGCGGAGTTGAAGAGGGTGTGGATGGGGGATCGGTGGCAGAAAGTGTTAACAAAAAGAGACCTGGGAAGGGGAGGTGGGTAGCAGGCGGTTCCACTGAAGGCTAATCCCTAGCTTAGAGAACAGATCCCTACCCAGCAAAATGGCACTGGACATGAAGGCATCACTAAAAAGGAGTGGGAAAGAGGAGAACCCCCTATGTTTAAGAATAAAGGGGGAGTTTTTAAGGATTTTGTGGGCTTGCCACTTATTCCCATAACCATGACTGGGGAAGGAGAAGTTGGGCATGAGAAGGAAGGGAGGACTGAGAAGGCAGCTCCCATGTCCATCATGAAGGAAACTGGCTTACCTGGTACCTTGATCGTTTCCCTAGGCTCAGAGAGGGTTACCGGGTCTTTGAGTTCGGACTCCTTCAGTCATTGTTGTCAGTTGCTAGTCCCAGTAGTGCCAGCAGTGGGTCGGGATATGGAGGGACGGACCTTCTGCAGCTAGGTGCCGAGGGGCAATTGTTTCTCCAGTGACCCTGCTTGATCACACACCGGGCAAGGCTTACTGAGCTGTCAGGGCTGTGGGCAGTGTTTAGCCCAGTGCCCCTCCTGGCCACATTTGAAGCAAGATCCTGGCAGCGGGTGGTTAAAGTTGCTCCTTTCAGTAGTCCAGGTCATGGTTAGGGGTCTGAGGGCTATCTTCAGACTTTTAAAGTTTCTTTTTAATATTGGGGCTGACTGCATTATAAAATGAGTGGCTAGTACAGTAGCTCCAGCTGGAGCGGTAGGGGCTAGCCTAGTATACTGAGTTAAGGCTTCAGTTAGGCGTGTAAGAAAAGCTGCCAGGTTTTCACATGGATGCTGGGTGGTCTCTCGTAGCTTGTCAAAGTTTACTGCTTTGTGAAAGATGGCTTGCAAGCCAGCCAGTAAGCACTATATCATGTGATCCCAGTGGGCGCTGGCTTTGTGTCCCATGGGGGTGTCTACCTGGGAGTTCCAACCCAGTTCCCCCCTTGGGACATCCTGGGAGCCCACCTGCGTGAAAGCGTCAGTTAAATGGACTTGATCTGCATGTTGCTGAGCGGCCATGAAAACGTGCTGCTGCTCATCAGGGGTGAGGGTGGAGGCTAGCAAAACATAAAAGTCATGCCAGGTAAGATCATAAACCAGTGTTAGGTATCAGAATTCTTTCATAAAGGTAGTAAGGTCTTGTGAAAAAAAAATACCTAAACACTTTTCTCTCTGAGAGAGGTCTGTTAAGGAAAACGGCACGTGTACCCTGACAGGTTCCTCAGCCCCTGCAACTTCGCAGAGGGGACAGACAAGAGGGTAGAGGGAATGGGTGTGGTTGGTAATAGGAGATGGCAACAGAGAGGGCAGGGGTGGTTGGGAAACCGGGGTTTGGCAGGAGGCAGTCTGGGAGGAGGTAGGTGGTGTTTTGGAAGATGTAGCGTAAGGGGGAGGATGGGAAGGGGGAAGAGAGATAGCTTCCAGGGAGTCCGATGGACTTGGGCTTACAAGGGGCAGTGAGTGGCAGAGGAGTTAATGCCTCCATTTTGAGATGTGTAGGCACGGGGGATTGAGCCACAAGAACTTGTACAGGTTGGCACAAGGAACAGAGCAAGGGTCGGGAGTGAAGGATGAAGAATGCCTAAACCACTTGTGAGTTCACTGACAAAATTTGACAAAAATTGTCAAGATCGTGGAGGATGTTAAAATCGAAAGTGCCATTTTTTGACCAACATGACTCATTTGTGTAATTGGTATTGAGGCCAAATTTGGTTACAGAAGAAGACGAGGTGCTTCAGATGGAGATCAGGAGCCAAATCCAATTCCGAGAGCTTGGCCAGTAAACACCCCAAGGGACTGTCTCTAGGAGGCTTAGATAAAGGATTTCCCATGGTGTCTCAAACTGCAGAGGTATGGACAGGAGAGAAAGGCATCCCCTGGTCTCCGGTCTGTACCCATCAGTCAGCAACAGTAACCCTGAGGGCATCCTGATCAGAGTTAGGGACCCAGGGGAGAGTTCTGAACTACTCCCAGGCAGAAAGCTTCCCTGGTGTAGGCCTGCGGCTTGTCCAACAGAAAGGGACCTTGGAACAGTGAGAGACACAATGGAAGCCGAGGAGGGGGAGGGAGCTTGGCTTTATAGCCAGTAAAATTGAGGTTGGTCAGAGGCTTTTGTTCAGGGTGAGAAAAAGGAGGAAGTAGGAAATTTTAGAGAAGGCACTGTAGAGCTGCAAAACGCAAAACACACAACAGGTAGAAAAGGCTCAGAAATAACCTTTGTGCCTTAGTCCAGTCTGAAGGTGCAGTGACTGCCAGGCCCAAAGCCAGGAGTCCTGTTATTGGCAGAAATCCCAGAAAGGAGACACAGAGACAAAGGGCTGGGGGCCACATGGGATAAGATGGACATGAGAAACTGCCCTTATTGTAGCACCCTTTTGGGGAAAGGCAGTTATTTCCAGCTCCTCTTACTATTAGGGTGGAAGTATAACCCCCTTCCATGGGGCCCCTTTTGGGGACCCTATGTTCCCATATTAATGTGCTAGTCCTCAGTGTCTAGAAGGACAAATGAGACAGAACAAACATACACAGAGAGATACTGACCAGGAGTCACTCATCCAGGCAGGCACCAGGAGTTGGAATGGAGAGGAGGGGTGGGCTCCATGTACCAGCCAAAGCAGGGCCATATGGCACGAAGCCCCTGTCCCTATCTCTCCTGAGTTTCGGCACCAAATGATAGGTAAGCTAGGCACAAGATGAGAACAGTCAGGACGAAAAGGTGAAGTCAGAGATAGATAGCTTTATTGTAGCAAAGAAAGAGCTCCCGGGCAAGGTCCCATGGTCTAGCAAGCAGCCCAGTCA